AGTCTCGCTCGCTCTCGCGCAGCGGCGAAATGGTGGGGCGGTTTTCCGTGTTGCCGGGGAGCCAAATGTGCATCACCGCCTTCAGCACGTATGTGCGATCTAAGCGGCAGCCATCTATGCACATTGCACCGTTTAGATAATCACAGCTGCGGTCGATAACTCACTTCCCATGGTAAAAGGTAGGGACATGCATTAACATTCACCCTGTATATATATTTTACAACATATTTCATGGAGAATCAAATCGGTTCCGGACAGTTGTCGTTAAATAAACATTAAAAAAAGGTTTCCTCAGAACATCATTGTAAACAAAAAATTAGTATTAAATTAACATTTAATAAACGTTAAATAAATATTTAATAAATGTTCCTTCGAAACATTACGTCAAACGGAAAATTAATGTAAAAGAAACATTTATTTAACATTAAATGTTTAAAAAACGTTCTTTTGAAACATTATTTCAAACGAAAAATTAGTGTAAAATTAATATTTAATAAACGTTAAATAAACGTTTAAAAAATTATTTTGGAAATGAATCATTAAACGTAAAATTAATTACAAATAGTTCCAAGCGTTAAATAAATGTTATTTTGAAAATAGTTGTGAAATTTCCGTTGTAAGACAGAGAAATTGAATATAATATCCTTGCCTGCAATGGCTGACCACACATTCATTGCTGCAGTATTCATCTTCCCATTCGTTATTAGATATAGCAGGATTAGGGCATCCCTGATGTATACACGGTGAAGGTCTTTGTCCTGTCATAGTCACTTGTGAAGGGTTTACTGGCGACGAAGAACTAGATAAAGTTTCAGACTTCATCGGTAAATCCTCAGATTTTATAAATTCTGCTCTAGGTGGACTCGTATGTATTATTTGTTGTTGCTGTTGTTGCTGCACTTGCACTTGCTGTACTTGTTGAGGCATCTATAAATAATGTTAAAAATGCTGTATAGCGTAAAAAAAACATATTGCATCATTTTACTAATATATTTTTATTTTATTATATATAATTAAGTAACAATATATACAAAACATTTCAATAATTTAAAAAGATATAATAATTAAAGAAAATATCTTATTATATTTCTTTTTTTTTCTTTTTCCTTCTCTTTTTATGCAAAGAGTAACGCATTTAGTCCATTTTGTGCTCTTTAAATTTTGAGTCAAACTTATATGCCAAACGATGATATATGATGGGATATTAATCTTTCCTCTATTGAAAAAAATCACATCACAAAGTTACATAACGAAATCATGTAATTAAAACAAATAAATTACATAAAGGATTATTCCAAATCATTACCTTATTTTTTTAAATCACGTAATTTGAAAAATCATATAATATTAAAAATAATTTCATCTATTATATGATTTCATAGTTATCGAATTTTAAAGAATTAAATAATAGGAGTAGAAAGAAAAAATATATCATTGTGTGACTTTTTAAATTACGTGATTAAAAAAAATCACATACTGATTTGGAACAATCCGTTACGTAATTTACCGTTACGTAAGTTTTAATTACATAATTTTATTATGTACCATAATTTTGTGACGTGATTTTTTTCAATAGAGTCCAATATAGACGTTTATTGTGCAGTGATAGATCACTTTCGAGAGCTTATGCACTGCCAAAAGTTCACAAACCGAACTGTCAATTTAGAATTATTGTGTCGTTCACAGGTAGCTCGTTATACGCCTTAGGCTCTTTTCTACACAACATAATGTTTGAAACAATTCCAAAAGCGGAAAGTTATATAAAAAACAGTTTCCAACTCGTTGATGGGCTCAGAGGAATGCATATAGACGACAATTATAAATTAATTTCATTAGATGTGGTTTCTCTTTTTACAAACATACCGACGGACATAGCTTTAGTATCAATGACAACTGGAATTTTATTTCGAAAAAATGTAAATTACCTAAAAAGAAGTTTTTGATTGCAGTTCGATTAATTTTAGATTCCACTTATTTTTGATTTGATAATATTACTCATAATCAAAATTTTGGCACGCTCATGGGCTCTCCTTTGTCACCCATTATTGCTGATTTGGTAATTGTTAAGAGTCGCGATAATACTAGCGTTTAGTCGCTCATTGATTGGTTGTAAGAAAATCGATAGGTCAACGATTCGATCTATGCGAGCGGTTGGCAGGATCGCCCCGGACGCAGTGATGCACATTTGGTCCCCCGGCAACACGAGAATCAGCCCCACCACTCTCGCTGTCTTGCTCCCTCTCACGAAGCCGCTGCGCAAGAGCGAGCGAGACAGCGAGAGTGGTGGGGCTGATTCTCGTGTTGCCGGGGAGCCAAATGTGCATCACTGCCCGGACGTTCGGTCATTATTATTATTATTACTACGAGACAAGAAAAGCAGTATTATTCACGTTCTCAATAAAGACCGCAAATAAAAAAGAATTGCGTAATTTCAATCCCAAACATATGGTTCTTCGAGCCGGATTAGCAAGAAATCAGCGCCAACAAAGAGGGGTTGAAAATAAAAGGCTAACATCCGACGTTAATCTGGCAGTATAACAGGCAAGCGAGTTGAGGTTAGGAAGGCGAACTCGACTCTGGCAAGTCACGAAAAGGCACCGCGCGAGATCTGAACATCCTAAAGGTACACATAAAAAAGCACGGACCGCTCCCTCGCACCCGACCTCTCCAAGGACATCACGCTAACAATCGCAAGGGATAAAGAGAGGCTCGTTGAGAGGACGCAACAGCAGTCAAACGGACGAAGAATTTAAGTCTGGATTCAGGTCAGTGAGCCCCAATGCCTTCACCCTAATTTAATTCATACAAGAGTAATAACCTTAGTCATAACCTCAATCCTTATCCCATTTCGAAATAAATAAAAATGGATAAAAAACTAGCAATAAAACGAGCTAATTTAAAGCGACAATTAACAAATTTTCTCAACTACGCTAAGTCAGGTCAGATTGATCTTCAATAATTACAAGAACGTTACGAAAGAGCATCCGGTGTTTGGCGAGAATTTGAAGAAGTGCATCAGGAAGTAGAATACATTCTGCATGAACAGAAAGACGAACAAGCAATTGAAGAACACGCAAAAAATAGAGAGAAATACGAACAGGTGTATTATGAAGCTCTAGCCGCAGCAAAAAGACAACTACGAGCAATAATTCAACAAAATGAGCAATTATTGCAACTTCAGGCACAGTTCCAAGCACTAGAAAGAACAACAGGTAATCAAGGAGGAGAAACAGTAAAATTGAAACTCCCACCATTGACAATTCAACCTTTTCATGGAGAATATAGCAAGTGGCTCACATTCAATGCATTCAAACAAGGAGTTCACAACAAAAATATTCCTGATATTCAGAAATTTCAGTTGCTTCAAGGCTTATTGAGAGATAATGCTCTAAAGGTAATCGCAGCGTTGGAGGCCTCGGACGCCAACTATGAAATCGCTTGGGATTTATTGAAAAAGCGATACGAAAACACGCGATTAATAATCAATACGCATATAAAGGGACTATTTGAGCTACCCCCTGTTACAAAGTCGAATCATGCAAACCTCAGGAATGTGGTGGACGAAGTCCGGTCTCATCTTCGTTCGCTTCAAGCTTTAAAATTACCAGTGCAACATTGGGACACTGTTGTCATATATTTAATCACGAATAAATTCGATAGCACAACGAGAGAGGAATGGGAGAAAGAGATTAGTCCGAAGCAAACCGATCAATTACCTACGTTGGAAGAGATAATGGCGTTCTTGGAAAAACGTTGTGTAATGCTCGAAATGACAGACAAAAGCAAGTCACCAACGGAAACGACATCAGTGAAGAAGACAGACAAGAAAGTAATATTAGCAGCAACTGCAAGGATATGCCCTCACTGCACAGGTTCTCATTTAATCTTTAAATGCGAAAAGTTCTTGAAATTATCTCCACAACAAAGATATGTAGAAATAAAACAAAAGAATCTGTGCACCAATTGCTTTAAAACGGGACACATGAGCAAAAATTGCTGGGCATCTACATGTAAGAAATGTAATCTCAAGCACAACACTTTATTGCACAAAGAACACGAGAGCGGAGAGAAACAGGAAAGAAAACTTGAAGAGGCAAGCAAAGTAGAAGCAGAAGCAGTCCCCGCCATACATCATAGTCAGTTTCTGGTAAGTGAGAAGAAAGAAACTCATTTACAGGAGCAGGAAAGTCAGAAGCAAAAAACGAAAGAAGACTGCCAAATAGTAACACATTGTGTTCCAAAACACATGACGAGGGTAATCCTTTCAACAGCACAAGTTTATATTAGTAACATTGACGAAAACATACATAAATGCAGGGCCTTATTGGACCCAGGATCTTAATTAAATATGATAACAAAGGATCTAGCTGATAAGTTGAAAATATCCTGCAAAGAAATCAAAATACCGATAAGCGGAGTCAATAAGTCAAGGCTTACCATCAATAAGTCCATACAAATCAAATTAGCATCAACCACGTCGAGCTTTAAAGCTGAATTGGAATGTTTAGTACTGCCGGCCATCACAGAGTGTATTCCACAAGTCCGCCTAGACAGAACAAAGTTAGTAATTCCCAATCACATCGATTTAGCAGATCAAGAATTCGACCAACCGAGGCCAATCGATGTCCTCCTTGGGGCAGGATTATTCTGGAAAATTTTAAAACCAGGAGAAACTATTGTGAGGCGCAATCAACCAATCTTGTAAAACACTCGTCTAGGATGGATAGTAGGAGGAGAACAAGTGGTCCGGGACCATCAACCAGAGCTTACAATGTGTCACTTAATCACAACACAAGAGTTGGATAACAGAATCGAAAGATTCTGGAAAACAGAGGAGTTAGGAGTTAAAAACACTAGAAGCGAAGAAGACGAGGTATGTGAAGAGCCTACAAACCCGCTCCCACCAAGACTGTACGGACTACCAAAAGTACACAAACCGGACATCCCCTTCAGACCGATTGTAAGCGCCATACGCTCCCCGACG